CTATGTTTCCATAATAAATAAAGAGATTAAGCATAGTCAGTTCAATATAAATCCAGAATGCGTTGGTCACAGGATAGAACAAGATAGGGGGGGAAAATGCCATATGAATAATTGAAAATGAGAGAACTTAATTATGTCTACAAAAACAACACTAATAGACAATCTGCAACACAAGAATTAATCAACGATTAAATGATAGAACACTAGTGATGGAAAAACCACCATGTGACCTTAATGATGAAGAGATACAAGCAAGAACATCAATACAAAAAAGTAAGCAAGTATCCATGCACTTAAAAGTAAAAGGAAAAAGAAGCCTAAGCTACAAATAGGTCTTAATAGTTAGACTTAATTCCCATCAAGTCCTATTGAAAATAAGTCCTAGTACAATCGTTGCTAAAAATAATTTTTCGTGACGATTTTTCACATGTCGCTAATTAGTGACTTTTTTCATGATTTTTATAAATTGTCGCTAAAACTTACAATTAGTGACGTTTTTGTGACGGATTTTTCAAACTGTAATTGAAAGTTCAAAATTAGTGACTTTTTTTATGATAATTTTTTTAAACTATCGCTAAAACTTATAATTTAGTGACATTTTTTGTGACAATTTTCAAACTGTCACTGAAAATTAACAATTAGTGACATTTTTTAATAGTGTATAATGAAAAATGTCATTAATTATCATAAGACCGATTGAACAAAAAATCCGCTTAGTAGGACCAGCACGTAAGTACCCCACGAAAAAATGAAGAAATAAAAAAATTTGGTTTATTTAGTCTTTATTCCTTTTAAACACTCTGAAGGAGAAACAAATTGTTCGCTCAACATAATATGCTACAAAGAGAAAGTGCTATATATGGTAGCTCCAAAAAAACAAAAGGCAAATTTGAAACAGAACCAGTTGAATATGTAACAAATAACTGCTAGACCCCACTTGACCAGATCAAGTTCTCCACGGAAGTAGTTAAATCAAGCTTTTCGCTCACCAAGGCAAGTCCTATCCAAGTAAAAGAATATTGTGCATAAAGGATTCAAAAATGCCAAATTCATCATTAGCAAACCAGGAAGATCAGCATGTTCAATTGACAATGACCATTAAATAAGTTCATACAAAAGTCAGTTGTGGACATAATAATAATTTAATGACTACAAAAATAACAAGTATATCAAAGCAAGAAGAAGCCTGATATAAAGCACCCAAGCAAATATCCATCCAAATTAGAAGTAAGAGAAAAATAAGCTGTTCAAACATAGAAATCTCCTTGGGGGTTATTAGGCATTATTCTCTTCATATTGCAAACGGAAACAAAAGATTTGCTTAGCGACAATATTACTAGAGAAAGCCACTGGCTCTCCCAAAAAATCGCAATTGAAAGGAGAACTTAGTGTGTGCGCAATAACTCCTAAATCATACTCCTCAGGCTTTATCACTCCCAACATTTCATTTAAATCAAGCTATGGAATCAATGACCCAAGGCTAATCAAGTAAAATTATTTATAATGAAAAATTCAATTGTCAAACTCATAGGGAGTACATATTCCACCTTAAGAACCATTTCCACTTCCCCATATCGACCGGTTAAGACAGGGATTGATGGAAAATAATGACTAAAAGAACAATAAAACATCTGAAAATCAATGTATATTGTCATAACTGACACTTCATTGCCTGGAGGATACTAGGATGCTAACACATTCCCAAAGAAGCTATAGACTACACCTCATAGATTCTGCCTAATCATATATCAAATTAAAATAATCAGACAAGAAGTGGATATGGAGTACCCCCCTTAAATGTACTTACTGCCAAATGAAGGTGATGATGAAGCTCCAAAAGCAGGAGTTGATGAAGCTCCAAAAGCAGACATGGAACCACCAAAAGCTGGAGCCGATGAAGCACCAAAAGCTGGCGTGGAAGTCAAAGGTGATGATGATTGGGTACCAAAAACGCCAGTTGAAGTGCCGCCAAAAATGGAACCCCCCGTCTGCGAACCAAAAGGGGTTGTACTACCGAAGGGTTTGGGAGCAAATGGATTACTGCTTGCATTATTAGCCTGTCCAAAAACTGATTGGGACCCAAATGGGCTATTGGACGACTGCCCAAAAGCTGTCAATTGATTCCACATTTATAAGTATGCAGAAAAAGGATGAGAAGCAAATAAAAAAGACCGTCTATTTACTAGTGAACTCCACCATATTATTAAGGAAAAGAACAGCAAACATTGAAAGAACTTACATCATAAATGATGTATGATATAAACATCAATGCATGCAGGATCCATCCAAACATTTATTTTTATTTAGTATTTATTTATTTGTGATAATACCACGTATACACATTAATGAACATAGATCATTCCTATTTGAAAAATAGAAAAAGGCACAAAAGCAAGAAAGAGGGGTTGGACCAAATTTTAGCTGTGTTACTATTACTCCTTGAAAAACAATGCAAGAATAGACAATCAGAGAGTCCTAATCAAAGGGTAATCGAGCAATTCAAGAGCTAGACAGGCGCCTAGTTTGCCACCCAAGAGGTCCATTCAAAGCCCGTTTAAAGGCAGCTCGACCAATGTACAATGATTGGATTTCCAGTTTAGTATGCTCAAAGGCTACTTGAGCATTGTGTAGAGTTTTGGAATTGAAGAAAAGTATATTGATCAACCTGGAAATAGGGCTATTATAAAATTATGAGATACACAAACAGATTTCTGTGGTGCCCTAGCCTCCACAGAGTTCCAAACCTCCAACAAGATCACATGAAACTTGGACAAACAATTCTAATCAATAAACTAACAGATCTGTAAACCTTCGCTAGTTTGATAATTAAAAAGCCATACACAATTGCATCTCACATTCTTTGGCCACCAATGTTTGAGACGCTTTGTGAATCTAACGCCCAGAGTTAGATCCGTTTAAACCATTTCAATGGATTTAGACTTGCCTAAGAAAGTGGTTTAAAAACTAAACCTCAACTATTTGACAGGAGTCATCATGCATATTGGAAAGAATGCATGAGATCTTTCTTGAGGCATAGTTGGGTTATTTGTTGACAATGGCTATATACCACCTTGCATAATAAATGCTAGGGGTGAGACCAAGCCTGAGCCCCTTCAGATGGGACAAAATTGACAGAAAATAATGGCAAGAACAGAAAAGCAATTAATGCTAGTTTATATGCTATCTGTCCCATAAACGAGCCTTCACCACTAAGTTTCAAGTCTTACTATTAAAAGCTCTAAGCTTCAAAGCACTAAGTTTAAAGAATGTTGATGCAAGAGTCTAGACTTTTGATTGATTTTATGCTAGACTCAATGACATAATCAACTTCAGATTCAACTTAAGTGAATCGATCAGAGTCAAAAATTGTGAGAAGGTTTTGAGGCTGCCCCCGACTGATTCAGGGCTAAATTGTTATAGGAAAGAGTAAAGACATAGATTCCCTCATGATAGAAGAGCTCATAGGTTGTCTCCAAACCCATGGACTCAACATATGACCTGCGTTTCCCTAATAAAACAAAGAGTATTGCACTTAAAAAGACGCTATAGGACATGGTAGAGTATCATGATGTAGAAATAGGTGAGGAAGACGTTACTATGTCTGCTAAAAAATGTAAGAAATTCCTTAAGGTTCAATTTGGGTGGTATGAATCTTGAGGGGGAATGAGAATATGATTTACGGCCCTTGTGATTCCACTATTTGGAATTAATTGGAATCGGAAAGGGATTCATGATTACATACTCAGACTGGAAACACTTTCACAAATTAAGCAAAAGTATAATCCCTACACTATAATCTCACATTTTTAGAGGAATGAAAACCATTTAAGAGAAAAACGTAGATTGCCTCACAACATTTAAAATTTTATAATTTGCCACATTTGTCAACAGATAAATCCTAACTAAATCAAATGCTTGAATAACATTGACAAGTAATTTTATTACTGGTAATAAGATTCTCATTCATTCTTTTTGACCCTTCCATCCAAACATAGCCTAAGTTTAAAAAGAGCAATATGTCCTCAAAACCTACGAACAAACAATCACTATTTATGAGTATAGGCCCATACGGGCTGAGTCTACCAAGGCCCCTTCGGTTAGCAAGCCAGACCCTGTGTCCAAGTCGGACGACCACAAGCATGCAACTAACCTCCGGCGCCCGTCCATAATGGGCACAATGCAGTCACACAGAGGACACATTGTGTCATTTGCTTGTCTCCCCTGCCACTTGAACTTGCAAGTGTACTATCATGCACATCCCAAAAAAGGAGCGCCATGTCGCCCCCCTTGGCAGATAAGAATATACATACAACCACAATACGCATTCCAAGTATCTTATCTCATTCTCATCTTCTGCATTCCTCCATTGCTCTCTATCTTCAAGAGAAGATCCCCTGAGAAGGGCACCTACCGATGAGTTCTTAGGAGTTTTGTTTACAAGTTACCACCAAAAGACCCGAAGCCTAACTATCTAGCACAGATGACCCATGAATCCAATGACCACCATAGCCCTACCAAATACTGATTGTCATCAACTACAAATCTAATCAGAATAAAAGTGATAAGAAGTCTCAATCAGGGAAAGATGGGAAATCCAAAAGGTAAATATCACAGACAAGGTTCTGAAAAGCGGTTGTGGTCCCCGTAACGGTGGTGGTGGCACGGTTGCGGTTGCGGGGTGTAAAGGCCGTAGCGTAACGGTTGTGGTAACTGGAACCGTTAATTTTTTTATTTTTCGCACAATTTGAAAAAAACTTACTGATACGCACATTGTTTTTCCACGATCATATTTATTGGGTTTTAAAATAAATATTGATCAATTTTTATAAATTTTTAAGTTTGATCCAATATATTTCATATTTTTAAATCATTATAAACTGAGTTTTTTACATTTTCTTTTAATAATTAATGATTTTATATTATACAAAAAATCAATCACTAACTATTATATATAAGATAAACAATGACAAAAGTAAGAGAATAAATAAAAGCCTAAATAT